CTAGTCAACCAAACCAAGAGCTCCAACCCCCAGCCCTCCACCCCTAAACCCTAACACCTAACCGACCCCCCTGGACCCCAAAATAGAGAACCCTAAACCCTAAACCCTAAACCCTAAACCCTGAACTACAACGCATCATCTTCAAGACTTCGGACTTTAATCGCTTGAGAGGTTGCCTTTGGGCTAGGGCTTACAGCTTAGGGAATAGGCTTGGGGATTTAAGGATTAGAGTTGGGGATTTGGGGCTCAGGGCTTAGGGCTTAGGGGCTTAGGGGCTTAGGTGCTTAGGGGCTAGAATTCTTAGGGGCTTAGGGGCTTAGGGGCTTAGGGGCTCAGGGGCTCAGGGGCTTAGGGGCCTAGAGGCTTAGGGGCTTAGGGGCTTAGGGGCTTAGGGGCTTAGGGGCTTAGGGGCTTAGGGGCTAGGGGGCTTAGGGGCTTAGGGGCTTAACCCTAAACCCTAAACCCTAAGCCCTTAGGGGCTTAACCCTAAACCCTAAACCCTAAGCCCTAGGCAGACCCCGAAACCTACATGCGAGTACCTCAAAGCCTGCATCACGTTCCGGAACCTCAGCGAGCTCCGGCCGCGCCCGTCTCTCTAGCTCCTTCGTAGGGGTTTACAGGGTTTAGGTTTAGGATTTAGGGTTTAGGGTTTAGGGTTTAGGGTTTCGGGTTTAGGGTTTAGGATCCCCAAACCCTAAACCCTCACTTTAAAGTCTCAAGCTTGAACCCACCCCAGACCCTAGAGACCCTAAACCCTGATCCTGCTAAACCCTAAGCCCCAATTAGGCCCCAAAGCCTAAACCCCAGACCTTAACCCGAATCCTGGCACTAATCCTGCTACAAAGGTTCACGCGCTCTCTTGGGGTCCTGGAAGCTTTGGCGTTTGGGGGCGTGGGGGGTTGAACCTCTACTTTTCGTGGGGGGCAGAGGCCACCCATGATGCGAACTTTGATCTTTCCCAAGAATTTGCCGCCCTCCTTGTATACCGTTTCGCAGGTCCACGCGTGCGCTCTTGTAGACATGGCGAATGGAGATGCCGTTGCTTAGAGTTTGGGGCGTGTCCATGCAGTTCGCGTTGAAGTCACAGAGGGCGAGGGTTAGGAGTGTTGCAGGTCGTGTTCAAGGCACACAATGACAAGGTCTTTGCTGGCTTCTGAACGGTGATTGAGACCTGCTGCAGGCACCTTTTTCGTCGGTTAGAAAGTTCCTGCTGGTGCTAAACCCAGTGTGACCTGCTGCGTGCAATCTCCAAGAATGCCCGCGCATCTCACAGGGAACCTGCGCCCACGCGTCGGTGGCATTCATAAAGCTTGGGCATCGGAACAAAGAGCCATTCTTGCATGAGCTGCCCTCGTCGACTTGAAAAATGTTTTGCGGAAGGGGCTGCTCAAGCATGTCACGCGCACCCGCCGAGTGTCCCTCGTTGCCCTGCTCGGCCATGTCGAGCAAAGTCTGGGGCTTGGCCGGTGCCCACATTATCTTGGTAGCCCAGCAAGCATACTGAAATTTAAGGGCACCCCATTTTGGGTTGGTTACTTTAGAAGAGAACCTTGAATCATAAAAAGAGAAGAGGGTATCACAGGGCTACCAAGTTTTGAGCTGAGCTGATGCCTTCAAGTCAGTCCTCATAGACTTGCCACATGGTCTGCCGAATGAGCTGCTCGAGCATCCCAGCCGTATTGGGGTCTTGGATGGATCTTCGAAGCCGGGGCAGAGACAACAAAAGTTGCGTGTCAAAGGGCTTGGGCTGCATCGTGTTGATCTCCCCGCATTTCGCTGTCTCACGTGCGTTTCGCACGTAAGATCGGATCAACTCCTCCACGCTCTCACAGGTGAAAGAAGATGCCACCACAATCTCAAAACCTGTGCTCTGCCAGCCCGCGAAGAGAGACGCGTTGCGAAACGACTTCTCCGACTGTGCCACTACGCACATGCGAGCGACGCAATGGTTGCTTCTTGTGCTGAGCTCTGCAGCGATGGGCTTTGTCTCCCGCCAGTCTGCGATGATAAGCATGGTCACAGTCCTGCTGTTCCTGCCATCCAGCCAGCTGAGAAAGCCCGCAGCTTTTTTGTGACAAGCGAACTTCACATCAAGTGAAGTCGCAAGATGCATCAACTCGTTGTGTACCTGCCCGTGCTCGGGTTTCAAGCAATGCTCGAAACACCAAACTAGCCACACATCAAGGCCATCTGAAGCGGGATTGTGTGCAGCCATTCGAGTCTCCACGACTGGGGACTAGAGCAGGTGAAATCTGAGAACAAACGCTCCCGCGAATGGATTTCGCAAAAGCAAGTAGCTTTCTGGGGATGTTCCACGAGTTAAGACAAGGGTATTCATCTACGGGTGGGGTTTAGAGTCTTGGGGGTTTAGCTAGTTGCTTTAGCTAGTATATAATTAGCCCAAGTGTTCATGAGACCTTACTTGCAAAGTTCGGCGCCCCAAAGCTAGCCGAAACCCCACGTGACCCTCAACACAGCTTGTACCAGTGCTCGACATTGGGAACCCAGAAGCCGTTCCTGCGTTGGCGGAGCAAGCAGGGGGAGGCCCAGCAACAGGGAGCAAGTAGCTGCTCTCAAAATGTGTTTGCATAGAGCCTTGAAGTGTTTTACCGGCCTGAAAGATATTTCTTGAAGCAGAATGTTCTTGGGACTGCTGCTGTGTGTGCGTGTGGGAAGGCTTCAGAGATCAGAATTCGAGATGGCTATAACGAAAAGAGAACAGCATGACATAACAGAAGGAGGAGCGACAGCAAGGGATTAAAAGAGTACGAGACAACCCGCTTGACGGGCTCAACCGAGTGTGTGGGGGGGGGAAAACCACAACACAGGAGCAAATGACAGCCCTGAGCGGTTTCAGAGAGTGCCACGTTCCGAGCCTCGAAGCTGATCTCAAAGCTGTCTTCTGACTACTTGGGGGTTGGGTTTAGGGTTTAGGGTTTAGGGTTTAGGGTTTAGGGTTTAGGGTTTAGGGTTTAGGGTTTAGGGTTTAGGGTTTAGGGTTTAGGGTTTAGGGGTTAGGGTTTAGGGTTTAGGGTTTAGGGTTTAGGGTTTAGGGTTTAGGGGTTAGGTTTTAGGGTTTAGGGTTTAGGGTTTAGGGTTTAGGGTTTAGGGTTTAGGGTTTAGGGTTTAGGGTTTAGGGTTTAGGGTTTAGGGTTTAGGGTTTAGGGTTTAGGGTTTAGGGTTTAGGGTTTAGGGTTTAGGGTTTAGGGTTTAGGTTGTAGGGTTTAGGGTTTAGGGTTTAGGGTTTAGGGTTTAGGGTTTAGGGTTTAGGGTTTAGGGTTTAGGGTTTAGGGTTTAGGGTTTAGGGTTTAGGGTTTAGGGTTTAGGGTTTAGGGCTCTGGGTTTAGGGTTTAGGGTTTTTAGGGTTTAGGGTTTACCTTTCCACCTGAGATTCCACACAAGTAGCATCCCAGAAAGTATCAACCACGCACCCGCAAACACGCAGCGACCGTCTCGGCAATCCACTTCTTGAGGCTCGGGGTCGACGGCTGAGGTTTTACTAGGTCGGTTGCCCACGCAAGGGCTACTGGATTGAAAAGGGAACGACTGGATGTTTAAACCGTAAACCCTCCATCCATCCTCGTGCAAAGACTTGATCTGCACGCGCACGTTCTCCGCCACCTGGACTTTCACGAACCCTACTTGCAGGATTGCGGGTCTCAAACTTCAGGGGGGGGGTGGGGGGGTTCTGGCAGTTTCGGGGCTCCCAGCAACCGGTAATCTCAACAGTTCCTACTTGGAGGTTCATGGTACTGAATAACCCAAGTAAAACCTTGTATCCTAAGCAGACCCATATTGGGATTGCGGTTATACTTGGGTTAGAAGGACCTTGAACCTCCAAGCGCTTGCAACGAAAACTTCGGGGCTGAACGTTGAAAGGGCATGGGGTTTAGGGTGTAGCTTGGTATTCAGCTTGAGTATGTGCAGATCAGCCTTTGCCACCGCTCTCCATAGCTAGCTAGGAAAAAACCTTGAAGAAGTCTTCCGCAACATGCGAAGAAGTAGGCTTTGGGTTCTTCAGGTATTGTTGGCGCAACGTGAAGCTGCAGGGTTTCGGGGCTTAGGTTAATGATCCTAGAATGTCGGGCGACCCTTCCGCCTGCGAAGATCATCTGACGACTTCAAACACATTTCTGGAGATCGTTCTCATTGTGGACATGGAAGGATCCAACGTCCCCAATTCCGCACGGGAACGTGCAAGCAGAGTACTGCCGCCCTGAAACGTGTGTGACCCTCAGCTGATGTAAACATGCGGCAACATGGCGTCTGTCTCTACGGTTAACGACACTCACACTCACCAAAAGTCTTGTCTAGACACCACACGGTCTTCGATGTGGTTCGGGTTAGGATGGCTAGAGAACCAAACCCTAAAGCCTAAAGCCTAAACCCTAAACCCTTACGGAGCTTCCCCAAACCCCGAGGAACCTCACAAAGTGCGGCCGAAACCCAAAACCCTCAGTGGCCCTAACCCCAATATCAGGGCTTATGGGGTACAGGGTTAAGGTGTGGGTTGGGTGGGAGGGGGGCATAATTAGCCGCAAACCTAAAACCGCAAACCATACGTAGGCACCATCAATTGCGAGGGTAAACCCTAAACCCTAAACCCTAAACCCTAAACCCCTGAAACCCTAAACCCTAAACCCTGTAAGATCCCACTCCCACAAGTTTTGGGGTCTCCGAATAACCGGCACCTCCACTTCAAGGGCCGCCATGTTTTCCCCAAGCTTGGCGTTGAGCTCCTACTTTGGAGGGAAAGACTTTTTGAAACCCTAGAAGGGTTTAGGGTTTGGGGTTAGGGTCCTGAACCTTAAAGGCTTTCGAGCCTGAACACACCACCCACCCTCCCCCCCCCCCCCCCCCGAAAAAAAAAAAAAAAACTAACCTTAAGCCCCCTTGACTTGGGGTTAGGGTTTGGGCTCAGGGTTTAGGGTTTAGGGTTGAGGGTTTAGGGTGTAGGGCTTATATGGTTTAGGGCCTTGGGGCTTGCATGTGTTCCTGAAAATATGACAAGTTGAAAGGACACTTCGATGCCACATGGGTTTAGTGCTCTGCGTTTCCTATCCATACCTGACTGCGGGGACTCCAAAATACGAAACCCGGTTTTTTGGTTCAGGGTTCAAGATTAAGCGTTGTGGGTTTCGGGTCTACCAAACGCTGCACATAAATTCCTGCCACCCTAAACCCTAAACCCTACACCCTAATTCCTAAACCCTTTTCCCAAGATCCCTGCGCCCCGAAACCCAAGCCCGAGTCCGACATCTTCGCCAGCAGCTCGACGCCCAATTCGCGGTCCCCTCTTTGTTAAGAAGGAGTTTAGGGTTTAGGGTTTAGTGTTTAGGGTTTCGGGTTAGGGTTTAGGGTTTAGGGTTTAGGGTTTAGGGTTTAGGGTTTAGGGTTTAGGGTTTAGGGTTTAGGGTGAGGGTCTAGGGTCTAGGCGTTAGCCCCTAAACCCTGAAGCCTTTTGGGGAGCTTCTAAGGCGTTTTGGGAGGGTCGCAGGGAACTCCCCGCGGAGTTCTCTCAGGGTCAGGGTTTCGGGTATAATTAGGGTTTAGGGCGTGCTTGCCGTTTACAGACTTATCCTTTTTCGTGCTTGTGGGGTCATGGGTTTGGGATTTGGCTCAGGGTTTTAGATCCTGAGCATCAGCTTGCTTGGTATGCTTCCGCTCTCAACATCGTCGCACTTTTCAAACGCTGCCACACGATTGGAAGCCGAGCAAATCCTCCTCTCGAGCTAGCGCTGGCTGTTGCCAACTGCCCGAGAAGAAGAACCAGAGCACTGCATAGAAGCCAAGAAGCATGCAAGACAAACCCCTCAGGTGCACCTAGCACAACAATGGCCCATGCCTGGAGCGGAAAAAAAACCGACGGCTACTCCAACGGAGCCATGTACAAGAAAAACCCCTCATTGATTCATGACTGATAATGAATGAAGGGACATAGTCGGACATACGATGTTTCACATCTTTCCCCTCGCGTGCGTGTAGCTTGTGGCTTGTGAGCAAACGCTTCTTCATGCGGGGACGGCACCAATGTGCGGAGGATCTTCATGCATCCAGATGATTGTCCGGAGACTCTCTCCCGCACGGAGTAAGCGAAAAGCTTCGTTGATGTCTCGCAACGGCACGTTGTGCGTGATGTACGGATCAATGTCAAACTTCCCATCCATGTAATCATCCATGAGTTGCGCAACACCCTCGCGACCGCGGAAACCACCAAAAGCGGTGCCAGTCCAAGTGCGCCCTGTCACCAGCTGGAAGGGACGGGTCGAGATTTCTGCTCCGCCTGCTGCAACACCCACGACTACACTCTTTCCCCATCCGATATGAGCACACTCTAGCGCTGCACGCATGACGTCCACTGAGCCGGTCGCCTCGAACGAATAATCCACACCGCCGTTTGTCATTTTGATAATGATGTCTTGTATTGGACCGTCATGTTCCTTGGGATTCACAGTATCGGTGGCGCCCCAGGCCAGAGCGCGCTCGAATTTCTCAGGGTTAGTGTCGATGGCGATGATCCTCGTGGCACCAACACGCTTGCATGCCTCAATGATTGAGAGTCCCACTGTCCCGAGCCCGAAGACAGCAACGATGGACCCGGCTTCCACTTTGGCTGTGTTCATGACGGCACCAAATCCAGTCGGGAGGGCACAGGCAAGCAATGGTGCCTTCGACAAAGGCGAGTCATCGCGAATCTTACCAGCACTTTCCTCGTGGATCACGGTGTACTGAGAAAAGCAGCTGATACCCATGAAGTGATGAAGCTCTTGTTGGCCCTCCGCTCCTTGGAAACGGACACCGCCAGCACGCATCACACCTGCACCGGTGAAGCCTCGGACTTTACCGCAAAGGTTGGTTTTGCCCTTGCGATAACCTCGGCATCGAGGACACTGATCCTTTGACAAGTCGTCGGCAAAGCATTGGGCCTGGTAGCATGGAATCACCTTGTCGCCGGGCTTCACCGTGGTGACTCCGGGCCCAATCGACTCCACCGTACCTGCCGACTCATGTCCTGGAACAAAAGGAAAGTGAGCCTCATTGTCCTTTCCCGCCGCAGCCTGCAAGTCCGTTCCGCAGAGGGTCGAATAATCAATACGAATGCGCACCTCATTCTCCGCCGGGGGGGCCACGATGATCTTCTCCAGAGAAACGGCAGGTTTGGAAAAGTCTGTCTCGGGCTTCCACGCCACGGCCGAGAAGCATTCGATGGGCTTCCCCACGGTAGAGAATCGCCGGGCGACCGATGTAGTCACGAATTTGGAGAGCTGGGGGTGGAGACGGAACATTGCCTAGCATCAACAGAATTCCACCTAAGCACGCTTGGCTGCCTTAAGCTGCGGCAAATACATCAGAAATACCAGAGACGAATGTGTCAATCAGGCACGGCAATCTTTAATCCTGTGTGTTCATAAATCATTCAATGAATGTGTCATGTTACACGGAATTCAGGAGGACCTGTTCTTGCACCTGTCAAACTGAATCGAAAAGTTGGTTGCAAAT